AGGTCAAGAAGAACTATTTAATCGATAACATTACCTCAACCCTGACATAAGAATAAGGCCGCAGTTGATACTTTGTTGTGTAGCCAGGGCCACAATCAACCCATGAACGACTTCCATAACTAAAATAAATGATAACTAAAAATTATCAACACGGCTGAAGGCGACAATTACATAAACGTAAGAGGGATGTCTTCACGGATTTTCTCTATCCGACTGATCATCGGTCGCTTGGCCCAGCCGAACGGAACCGATATTGTGCTGAACGCAACTTCCCCACTGATTGTAAAAAAAGCTATGGAGGTAAGCACGAGAAAGAAAGATAAGGCTAAGGCCAGACAGATTACCTTGGAGGCAACGCGTTGCAGTGGTACACGTAATCGAACAGACTTTGCTGTTTAACGGGATCGCTGAAAAACTTGCGACCAAGATCCGGCCGAACACGACGAATCAACGTCGGACCTAAAAATGCATGTGAGCTAAAAGAAACAGACATGCGAGACGGGCGGTTGATTTCACCCCAGGGTCCAGCCGCCCTCAGAGTCCACAGAGGGTTAAACAAGGACAAAAAGTGCGCCAGTGACTTCACCCACAGCGGAACATTGTAGTTGAAGTGACGCTCGGTTTCAGGGGGTTTCAATGGAAAACCCCAAGGGTCGACCAGAATTACGTGACGAACCGCCTCAGGGAATTCAAGTGCATACGAGGAACACAGATAACCGCCTAAATGAAGAAACTGATGAGAAATCACTTTACACCAGCGCAAGAATCGAACTAATGCAAAATCAAGCAATTTTAGGTGATTAAATTATAGCGAAAGCGGTCGTTTATTCTGATTCTATGATCTGCAATAGGAAAGTAACGAAAACGGCCTTCACTCAATAAACCAATGCTTGTCCAATTGGAGATCGATCATCATCGATCGATTTATTGCCTTAGGAACTTATGAACACAGATAACTTCCATTACTTTCTATTTGTTAAACGCCTGAATACCGAGAGCCCGATGAAACGTACTTCATTAAATAGCTTATTTCCTTCAATTCCGTGCTGCAAACTATGGAGCCAAAAGATCTCATCATTTACGGTTATATCGAGAACAGTACTGGCATACGTTTCACATATCAATTATCAATCATACCATATACTATACCACAAAATCGTACCAACCATATCCGTGGAAATACATGTTCAATATACGCTAAAGAAATTTACATTATCCATTTTTCAGAAAAATAAACATCCCTTTGAATAGGAACAAAATAATGCTCAGGTACCACTAGGACTAACTATGTGGAACATTCTGAAATCGTGGCATATTCTTAGAATACAAACAAAATTATAACAGTAAAGAAGTTAACATATCTGACTGCGTAAAGTAAAGGCTCTGTTTCTATATATCAGTCACTTCATATTTCACGCAACAGGAGAATGCGCAAAAGTTACATTAGCTTCGTTCGCTTCTGTTCTGCCAGAAAGCACTTAAAATGAATCTTCTGCACAATAATTCACAGAGCCAGCTCACCCCCTCAACCACCTTTTCCCAATCCTTCACTAGTTTTTCCTTTTATTTCTGTTGCACTGTCAACATGTTACTTTTCTACACTGGCAATTTTCAATTCTAATGCACTTGATTATATAAATTTTTATATTCATATTATTGCTCTTAAACCTGATGATGGTTTGTTCTGTACCAGAAAACGTCAAGTAAAGGAGAAAAACGCGTATGCCACCCTAAAGCCATCGTTTTGGTATAAGGTGTACAATAAGTTAATGCAGTACTAGTCAGTGGTTATACTTCATAAACTCTTTCAAACTTAGCAACAGAGACTATTTGTAATCAAGAGCATGTGTTGCATTAAATACTCAGACACCGTAAACCATTAACACCATCTTGGTAAATTTCAACGTAGTCGATCTTTCTGTTGACCAGATGCTACGAAAAGATTTAAATTCATATATTTATTTCATTACTGGATGATAACTTCCAGAAAAGAGGTCATTGGATTCAATAAATGTACGCATCTGAATTGCTTGCATATGTCCACACTGTTATTTAGTCGGTATTACACAAAACTGATCACCCTCCCCAGGCTTAAGGGTTTGGTCGAAGTAAAGACTGAAATTGCACAAAATGGTTCAAATCATAGGAACAACAGTAACGTTTTGCGGTACTAAACTATATTATTTCAACCATTGAATGGATTGGATGATTTGTGACATGAATTCAGTCGCTTGGCCAGCGTTTTCGTAGGGCCAATAAGGCTTCGTCTCTTGAGGCACTCCTTAAGGCAAAACGAATATTACTCTAAGACATGTTACGAGAAAACCAAGCGTCAGGACCTAATTGCACCAAATTCATTCAAATCAAACGACAACTGATCCTTCGTGAGATGTTGGAGTCAAATTTTCAGACGGCAAACAATGTATTTTGGCATACATCAACCGCGTAGATCCGAAGTGCATAGATGAGAAATCTAAGATTTCTAAAGGACAAACACGAACGTACTAATATCGAAAATAAGGACATAATTCGGCGATGGTGAGAGTACCTTGAGAAACTCCGTAACCCTAAACAACTGTAAGAAAACTAGCCTGAAAAGCAACAGATGAAGTCCCAGATAAGGTAAATAGCTCAAAAAGTGGCAAGGCTGCTGCATTCAGCGAAATCCGCCATGTGATGCTTAAGGCCTTAAGCGAAACAAGGCGCGTTTTCGCTTAAACGTGTCTGTCAAACCTATGACTTAGTCCCACGCAACAAACCTGCGAACATGTGTGTTCGATGCAGTTGCTATGAGCCATCCAGTCACCACAGTAGATACTGGACGCACCAAGGAGACAATCACCGTGGCTGGACCTGACAGGCTAAATTTCTCTATGTCGAGACCTTCCACTGTTGGCACCGCCGCCAAGGTTGCGGTCTCTTCCCACTTCTCTTTGTTTAATAAATTAACAGAATATTTTGGCGCAGCCGGGGCGATGGGTGTATCAAGGTAGGAAACGTAGAAACGAAAAACTTGCTACTTACAGACGACCTTGTTTTGCTGGCATCTTCTGAAACTGATCTCCACCGCTCTCTAGAAAGGTTTGCAGATGAGATCGACGTGGCTGGTATGCATGTGAACGAGTCTAATACGAAAAGCCTAGTGCTCTCTCATTCTTCTGTCCCATGCTCTGTTCAGATAAAGGGAAAAGCAGTGGAGCAGGTGAATAAGTTCTAGTACCTAGGGGTTGTGTCTAGTGGTGACGAAAAACTTGAGGAACAGTTCGACTAATGGACTGGAATAGCCAGCGGCGTTCTGCGTGAACTATATCGAATCGTTGTGACTAAAACAGACCTGAGTCTGAAGATTAAGATCTCAGCGGTCATGTCGATCATCATCCCCCATGTTCGTCAATGTTCATGATTCGTAGGCCATGACTGAAAAACGACAATTCCGGGTACAAACGACCTATATGGGCTTCTTGAGGTTAATAGCTGGGCTGATGCGTCTCAACATCGTTCGGACTGCAGATAATATCCGAGAGAGCCTTGGTGTGCAACCGCTGCTTCATCAGATTTAGAACTCAAAGCTGTGATAATTTGGGCTCTTCGTTATAATGATTTCAGAAAGGAAGGCGAAACAGCCACTACCGGTCCAATCTACTGAATGAAGAACTTTGGGACGGTCAAGAAACACCTGGAGAAAGCGTATCGAAAGACTCTGTTCAAAACTCGTGTTGTCTTCTGCCGAAGTTCAAACAATAAGCACAGGATCAGGGACGCTGGAGACATCGTCTGAGCCGTCCACTTCCGCCACCCAAAAAGGTAAAGCTACCATCTAAACGACCGACTGCATGACTGGTACTACGAGTGCCTAAGCGGTGCCATGTAGGAAGTGTTGAAAAGCTGGTAATACAAGGGATATCATACAACATGGACGTTCTGCTTTTGCAAACGGCTCCAGATGATGATCTCAACAAACACGCGTTCATAACCTAACATGCGTTTGGTGTTAAAATATTTCTGATGGCGAGTTAACACAACATGTAGCTTAGTTTAAAACAAAGCAAAGCAATATTGGCAAAAGTGCAGGAAATACAAATTAAGCATAAAACGAAATGAAGACTACAGAGCATTAAATTATTACCCAACGAGTGACCTAGGAGAATCATCTTATCCAGTTTCATCTCCTTCCGCCACTGCTCCAACGAGCGCACCCATTCAAGTTCTGCCATGGTTGGGTCGACGCTGAACGTCGGTCGACCGGAACGCCCAAATCCTGTGACATGACCAACAACTTCCGTTCGACAAATCGACAGTTGTAAACAAAAGTGTACATACCTAAAAGGTCGATAGCATAGGTCGTTCGATTAGCAGCCAACGCGTCAAAATTCTTGCACCACATTGCTAAACCGCCTCCAAAACCGTGCACAAGTACGATCGGCGTCTTCTCCTGATACGCGTCATCTGCATCCTTTTTCTGCAGCACTGCGGTCCAGACATGAGATTTTCCGTTCCACACCGGTGCAGAAAAAGTAGTGAAAACTGACCTGACCCCTAAACACGTTTGATTATGTACAACACATAAGGATCGGCCAATAACAGTAAAATTACTTAACAATTATCAGAAATTTTATACGGAAATACAGGTGTGGATTAACCTGTTCTTCGACATGCACAGCTAGCACTGCAAGTTTGAAACAGTCAAAATTGTTACGGCACCGAAGGAACTAACCATTTCTTACCTCTACTTCTGAGTTTCTCAGAAATGGGTTAACTACATAATTGTTTAGCTTTGCTATCTAAATTTGAATTTACTCTTAACGTCAGTTTAATAAAATTTAGAACTGAAAATACCGTTTTCAAGATTTTCAATGTGTAAAACTATTCTTCCTGATATTACTGCAATACCGTTAGTTTATGATACCGCATAAGCGGTGCCGAGTGCTAAAGTGATTCGTTCATAAAGAGTAGAGCAAAATCTAACTAAAACATCGTCTGAAATTGATCGACGCGTTGCATATTAAAATACCGTGAGACAGTTGCACATAAATGGTATACATATACTGTTGCATTTTATGCATCAGGTCACGAGTTCTTGCAGTTAACATCTTACCGTGAAATTTCTAGGAGCGTTTTAGTCCTCTTCGTGTAATCCTTTTAATCTAACTGTAGCCACTGTTTGAACTCTAGGTGGTGCTATACGGCCTTAGGATAGCCCAGAAGAGCTGAAGGCCTAAAAGCTGCTTCGGTGAGTCATATTATTGAGAAATGAGTGAATAATTCCTTGAGATGGAACAGGAATCAGACCTTGTCTTGCCTTCAGTTATTTGTAACCAGGGACAAGGGAAAAGATTATGAAGAAACGCAGGACTGATCTCTGTTACGAATGAACAGTTTACTGCTTGACTGGGAATGCCAAAGCACTCCATTTTTCAGCATAAAAGAACATACATGAAAATTATGTACATATGACAAGATAGAATAGAATCGCACTCGAGCACTTAAAACTGACAAAAAAGAATCTGGAACTACGAACCTACGAAGCACGAATAAAAGTGATAAACAGGAAGACTGTGTGATACTGAGAAAATTCAAGTTTTGTTGCTTACTGTTCATCGTAGAATACACGCAGAACTGTGAATAAAAATAACAACTACTGACCTTACATTAATATTATAAATAAACTTCTTCTGAAACACAGTTCAGATAAAAGAACGAACAAAATTGTCTCATACAGAAAAATAAAACCCAATCTTATGGGTTTACTAGCATACTGCTAGTTATTAATAAAGCCGAGAACATATATAATCATATTGATGGGCGATTTTAATGCGCACCTCAGAGTAGACGTTGAAAAGTGGAACGGCATGATTAGGAAAAACCGCCCTAGCGACCGCAATAATAACGGCATGAAGTTCTTGCGGTTTTGTGCAAACAACGGATTGTCCATTATGAACACCTTCTTCGAGCACCGAAAAGTGCATCAGTACACCTGGTACCGTGATGCTTGTACACAGAAGACGATGATCGATTTGATAATCGTATCGTCTGACCTAAGACGCTCATTAATGGATGTTCGTGTTAAAAGAGG